CAGAGCTGTTTTGTATATAAACCCAATTCCAAAAAGACTGGGTTTATGTAAAAAGTAAATCAAAACACAATGTAGTGATTGGTAGAACTTAGAAACTTGTATTTATAACAACAGAAAACATCAAATGTTTAAACAGAAATTTTGCTATTTCATGAAAAATCTTTTCATGAAAAATTCATGAAAAATTATTTTTTAATTTGATTGCACAAACAAAAAAAAAGAAAAGAAAGAAAAGGCTGAAAAAGAAGAAACAGTCTGAAGAATATTTTGTCTGCTTGGCAGAAGATCAGTAACATTGTTGGGTGTAAAAAGACTTAGAAGTTTCTTAGAAGTAAAGATGTGCAAAGGTTTACCAATCTGCAAAAAAAGGCAAATAATTGTGGAACAATTTCAGTTTGTGTTGCATCTACAGCACATCTACAGCACATAGTGCATAAGAGAATCTGGAATAATCTCTGTGCAAGGGACAAAGCTGAAGGCTGAAAATCAGTATGTAGATTCGTGTGATCTTTAGGCCACACATCTGAAAGCATATTGATTTGCTCTCCTGATATTTAGACTGTAGTATTGATATTTTAACCTTTTTCACTTAGAGTAAAGATACTCTAAGCGATCGTCGTGAGTAACAAGCAGAACAATTACATTCTCTTCCACTAAACTACCTGCTCTAATTAAATGGGTTGCCAACTGCAAGTAAAACAGAAGAAAACGAAGAAGAAGAATAGCAATAGATAAATATTTGAAAAGAAAAAGTAGTCAGTCTGACCTGGGTCCTGGAGAAACTTTCGAGCCAGTAGAAGGCAAAAAAAGGTATACTGGGGGACAAACTGAGCTAATTCTGCTATGCCTGGTGCGCCGGGAAAAATGATCAAAATGCTTTTTGTGACATTTTTGTTTGGTGGTGTGCCGTGTGATTTTTCTAAGGTGAAATATGTGCCGTGGCTCCAAAAGGTTGGGAAACACTACTCTAAACACATGTTGCCATGTTATCTACAAATACAGATTAAAGCTCACTCATGCAAAGTAGAAACTACATGTGAACATAATCCAGAAATGTTGCTGTCTTCTCTGAGCCAAAGCTCATTTGTGTATAAAGAGTCCAGCTGCTAATTGTTCCTGCCTACAGTCCAGACCTCTCACTAACTGAGAAGATTTGGTGCATCGTGAAAAGAAAAATGCAACAGAAGAAAAAGACTCTTGATCAGAGTCCCAAATTTTTCAGAATTAAGTTGCACGTGGATTGTAATTTAGTCGCACATGCTTATATATAGTTAGAACATTAACTAACATACAATATGTTGACAAAAGTCACTCCTCTCAGTCTCTAAATTTAGATGTTTTCAGTCCCATTGCTACAGGTGTATAAAATCAAGCACCTAATCATGCGGTTACAAGCATTTATGAAAAGAACTGGGTATTACAAAGAGCTCACTGAATTTGAACATGGTGCTCTAATAGCCTGCTAGCATTGCAACAAGTCAGTCTGTGATATTTTTACTTTACTAACACTAAATAAATGCAGAGAATCCTCCTCGGGCATTAAGATAATCACAAAAACTGTGCC